GAAAGTGCCTGTTCAAGTAGTAAATGTGTCTGTTCGTTTAGAGTTGTGCCTGTCCGAAAGTGAAGTCAGTAGGCACAGTCCCAGTTCTGGTCTAAGTCAAGGGGTCAGTCCAGATCCAGACTTTCAAGTCCAAATCCAGGCCGAAGTGCCTCAGCAGCAGTTGAATCTCATTTGAATCTCATTGGGACTGTACTGGGACACATGCAATGCAGGGTCTGGGACAAACGGAGAGGCTGAATTGAGCCAATGCAGACCCAGCGAGGAGTGGCCAGCACTATAAAAAGAGCTGCCTGCCTCATTCCTCGCCAGATCTCCACTGGCTGCAATGCGTGGAAGTGCTGGTGCACTTGTGCGATGAGTCAGGAGGAGCAGCGCTGGAGGAGAAGACGCGCTGGAGGGAGGAAGATGCCTGTATGCTGGAAGTGATGCAGCCATAGCTGCCCAGCGAGTTAGCATTAGTAGTAGAGGGTTAGTATGTAGCTATGAGTAGTATCCAGAGTAGATCCTCATGAGTATTGAAGAGTGTGTATGCATCATAGGAGGAAGGGATTGAGGCTGAGAGTGTTCATTCAAGGTTGGCTATGGAAGATACTTACCTGAGTTGGATGTGACCTGCAGAGGTGGCGCTGATGAGTGGTGACCACATTGATGACTTGGAGACTATCTGCAGGGGTAGCACTGATTCACTGGAAGGCATATTGATGAGGTGGCAAGATATTGGTGTTGCGCTGATGAGCGCTGGACTCAGGGGAACTTTGAAACACTTTGTATTCATATTTCTGATAATATAAACTGTGAAACTCGGTCCTCATCTTCTCTATCTTTGTCTATTGTCAGACTACTGTTCATTGTGTGTGGGAGTACGATGCATGGCATGTACACACTTGCGTGAGATGGTCCCCAGGACCCATGCACATGACTTAAATGGGGTAAAAAAGAAAAGTTATCGTTGGTTATGGTAGTCTGTGAGTGGGGAGTGTGGGAGGGAGAGGAGGAGGAGAAGAAGAAGAGAAAGGAGAGTAAAAGATGACGAAAAGAAGAAACAGAAGTTTGCCACACTTATGCCTATGGCTCAGCAGGGGAGAAGGAGAGGGGGAGAAGGAGAAGAATAAGAACCTCTGAAGTTTATAACTTTGGTTTTTTTTTTTTGGGGGGGGGGGGGAAGTCGTTGGCTATGGTAGTCTGTGACTGGGGGACGTGGGAGGAAGAGGGAGAGGAGGAGGAGAAGAAGAAGGAGAAGGAGAAGAAGAAGAAGAAGAAGAAGAAGAGGAGGAAGAGGAGGAAACGGCGTTGCAGAAGGGGGGATTTTGAGGATGAGGTGGAAGTTTCTCTCTCTCGCTCTCTCCGAGAACCCGACAAAAAAGGAGGAGAACAAGACGAGGAAGAAGAAGAAGAGGAGGAGGAGGAGGAGGATAAAAAAAAAGAAGAGGAGGAGGAAAAGATGGCGAAGAAGAGGAAGAAGAGGAAGAGGAGGAAGAAGAGGAAGAAGAGGAATAAGGCAAAGAAGAGGAAGAAGGAGACGAAGAAGAAGAGGAGGAAGCGGAGGGAACGGCGCTGCAGAAGGGGCGAGTAGTACGATGAGGTGGAGGTCTCTGTCTCTCTCTCTCTCCAAGAACCCGACAAAAATGGAGGAGGAGGAGGAGGAGAAAAGATGAAGAATAAGATGGGGAGGAGGAGGAGAAAAAGGTGAAGAAGAAGGCTGGAATGAGCGTGACGTCAACGCGCTGCATGCTGACAACGAGCGCGGGCGAGGTTGGTCAGGGCTAGGGCCTACGGGCGATGGGGAGAGGGGGGACTACCGTGTACAGCTCGTTTCAAAATTTGAAACACGACCGATTACGGCCGCCGATCCGCCAGATCTGCGGCCGAAATCTGCCACGTTTGA